CGAATAGAGAGGAGTACGAGCTGCCCTTCGACCAGATGCATTGCTCCGGAAGGTGAGCTGTGTCACAGTCCAGCCCTACTCAAGCCCTTCACCCCAACTCATAACCAACGATTGTCTCTCTTTATCCTCCAACCCTTTCCACTGCGCCGCTACTGCTACTTCCCCATATGACCCCGACCTCCATCCGCATTGTTCTGAATCGATCGGAAACAGAGCACTCCGCTGTATACGATCTCCTCTTCTGCATTCGTGTATGGAAAAGTACGAAGAAAGCGAGGGGATTCCCCGTACTATCCATCCACAAGCAACCCTAGAGGTCTACGGCTTTCCTAATTTCTACTCACTATTTGCAAGTTGCTGCTGTTCACCGCAGCGAGATCCCCAAACTAAAAGTGCGGACGAAATACACAAGATCAGGACTATTCCATCGGAAGGACGCTTACAACCAGCGTTCTTCGGCTCAGGTATGCTCGTATGGTTCATATACACCTCCTCCTCTGGCCTTGGTATCACGGCTTCTGATGAAGACGACTGTCTCGCCCGACACCTCTCCCCCTTTCCAGCCTGAGGACAAGCTCTATTCCTCTTGCTCGACTTCCCTGGTCGACACTAAGGAAACCGCCTTCCCCGTGCTATGCGCTCCGAGGCATGGCGGGTGCGCTCCGCGAACGTGAGAAACCCTAAGGTAGATGCGCTAAGCGTCCTCGCTCACCGACATTGAGCGCTATGGCGCCGCCGTACGGTTCGTCCACAACGTATGTCCTCTGTATCTTGGGATATCATCTTTGAAGTTTGCCCTGACTGACCCCAGATAATTATTTTTATTTTTCACAAAGCTGCCTTCTCCTCATCGGGGGACAGCCATATATTTTTCTCTCTTCCCTCGCATATCTTTTAACTGGCGTTCTGCCATGTCATCATGGAACATATCTTTCTTTTCACTACCTACCTACCACTACTCCTAAGGCTATACAGGGGACCTCTGCAAGCATAGCTTTCTACCTCTCTTCGGTGAAGGGAGGTTATCTCTCTCGGTGAAGAGAGGAAGCGGCATGTTTTAGGGTACGGGGTTGGGGCCGCCGGTGGGGCCCCGGCTACGCAAGGACCGAGCATTTGCCAGTAACTGTGCCTCCCTTGCCTCATTTCAAAGGGGGGGGGGGGGGGGGGGGGGGGGGGGGGAAAGGAGGAGAAGAAGAAGAAGAAGAAGAAGATAAATTCAGAGATATGTTTACAACATCTCACGCCATATGGGATTCGAACACGGGTCTGTATGTGAATAGTTCATCGGTCTATCAACTACCAACTGAGCTACACCCGTTGGTACTTGTGCGGTGGAACCTGACATTGCCACAAAGCTTTAAATGTGAATGCACAAATGGGGCAGCCAGGTGTGTGGGTAGTGGGGGTATTGCACATCCACATTGCCGATGGCCACATTATTGGGCCTCACTCCACTACTCTCCATGTGCACAAAAGACAAAAATCAATGGCGGTGTATCTTTCCATGTTCTGGCGGAAGATTCACTCTCATTTTGCAGATCTCGAAGAGGCCGGTTGACAGTGGTGGGGAGGGCATACTCTCATCAGCACCCTTTTATTTAC